AAGTATAGTTTAAATATCTCTATTTTCAAATAGACGCCAAACTAACCGTCAGGTTTAATTTCGTTTGTTCACACGTCAAGGAAATTGATTATTGACTTATATTTAGTCTGTTTTCAATTTACATAAAGTATTAAGATATCTTCTATTTGCGATTTAGAATTTACCCGATTTATGGCAACGGAAATGATTAAATAACAGTTCGATAACAAGCTCGTGTTTAAGTATTGAAAAAGTATGGTGCATTTTTATAATTAAATGCGGGTAATTTAAAAATGACATGCATACTTTTTTTAAAAAGATCTGAACTTTTCCTAATAAATGGAGTATACGAGTGAAATTTAATCGCATTCCTTGTCAAGTATTTAAAATTCACTTTTCTGCGATTACATAATTTCCCATATAGATTTGATTAATTATTAATATTCTTATATTTAATTTAATTAATTACTCATATGTTCAATTTTAATCTTAAAATTGTTATAAATTCAAATAGCATTTAAATAGCAATTAAATTGGTGTAAAAGGTTCATAAATTTCTCTATCAATTTCTAAATATTACAATTATTACAGATTTAATAAAAGTCAATTATTTTCACTGTTAATAAATTAACGATCGTATTTTCATGAAATATGATCAAACGAAATTTAATAAATTACAATTATGTGATATATAAACTCTTACAAAGAAATGTAATTATGAGAAGGAATATTTATAGAGGTGCAGATCACGTGTTTCTTTGTGTATGTGTATGTAAATGATTTAATTGTTTGAAATATTACCTTTTATAATGTATTTTAATAAGCGTTTTACATGTGTTTAATATGTGCAAGCAAGTTTAAAAAATATAATATTACATTAAAAAAAAAATTGAATAGTAAATTAATTTCATAATTCAAATGAAATTGAATTATTTAAAAGTGATTATTATCATGATGCCAAATTTCATCAAAAATTTATGGAATGAGCAAAATAATTAATTTTGAAAATCATTTCTTTGATTAAGGCTTAGAGAGGAAGAATAGCCTTAATTTAAAGAACGGAGAATTTTTAATTCAAAGTTTATAAATTAAAAATATAGCGTGTTCAAATCAGTCTTGAATTAGCTTTAGGAATGAATGCGAGAGGTCTTTTAGCGGAAAAAAAATATGTTTATTAATAGAATAAGACGTGCAATAAAAACATTGTGATAGTAATTGTTAGACAATGTAAATGATATTAATAACACGCTAACTAAATTCTATTTGTAATTTTGAGAAAAATGTATATGATAAATAGACGCGCGCGTCAATGTAATGGGGTGCACGTATTGTGATCAATAAATCACGAATACATATAATTCATTTATCTTTCTTCTGTAAATCCCACTTTAAATGATTATTATATAATTTGTGTTAGAGATTTTACAGGATAGAATTATAATATAAATTATTCTAGAAAATAATTAATTTAAGCAGAAAGCTAAATCTTCTTATTAGAAATCAGAGATAACATTTTTATCTACCTTTATAGAAATTAATATTTTGGGTATTAAAAATATTATTAATAATGTTTTTAATACTGAAAGTAAATAACTAATTGACCAGTATTAGTGTTAACTAAATTTCTATAAGGGTAATAAGTTAATAAAATTTTTTTTAACTGTCATTAACTATTAAATAATTAATATTATTTAATAATTATAATTTGTTTAAAAAACTTAGCTTTAGTTAGAAATTTTACACATCCTTTCTCAAAAATTATCATCATTTATGTGTCTTCTTTGATCATAAAATTATGAGAATACATATTCGATATCTGTTTGGAAATAAGAATGAATAAAAGAGAGAGGGGAATCTAGAATGTGGACATGCGCGGAAGCCACCAAAGAGGGTAAAGTATAAAGTTTAGGTTTCAGACATTTCGGTTAGCCATCGTAGGTGATTGTTGTGTAGGTGTAGGAGGATCGGAGAGAGTAACGAAGTTATATTCGTGCAATGAAACAAAAAGGACGTTGTAATATATAAGAACATTATAGTAAGTAATAATATGATTAAAAAGGACTTAGGAAATTAATCTAAACTATGAAATATCTGAGAAAGAGAATATACATTTAAAAAGGAATGATTGAGGTTAGGAATACAGGGAAGAGATCAATCTTCTTAATTAAGATAATTATTGTATATATGTATATAATCATGAAACATCTTATTTGATTGATATAAATTAAGCGCAAAAATATGCAAAATGCAAATATTAATCTTTTAACAAATATATATCATTTATCATCATTGTAAAATATTATTTAAATTCATATAATATTTTTTGATGTATTCCTCTTTTGATAAAAATTTTCTAATAATTAAGAAAATATAAGTAATTTATTATTTTAGTGAAAAATATCTTTTACAAAATGGCCATATTTTTATATATAGGCTTAAATAGTATTACTTAGTATTTTATATATACTTTGTAAGAGATATACAATTTTTATACAAAAAACGTTAAATTTTATTTTTATTTACAACATAAATGATTCAAAAATAAATGTGCAGATAAATATGAATGCAATTTCCACTGGTAATTACCTAAAGAGAGATCTGAGAAGTATGTTTGCTGTACGAAACAACTGTATTAGTGAAGAAACTGCATTCTGTAAACAAGATAATTTACAGCAGTCTTTGAATACACTGAACGAAGTAATGAGATAGACATAGCCAACAATCTTATTAGAATATGCTTATACTTGATATTGATTGATGTCTAAATCTATAGGAATTTGAATCATTCGGTATCTCATCGGTAACCATAAATAATGATTTGCAAACCTTAGAATCATTGAAAGACCTATCTATACAAGTAACAAATGCTACATGGAAAATGATACATAAACATAGATACTTAATGCGATTGCATGATCAATTAATTGATTTAAATCATAAAACTGTTAATGATAATGTTAATCTTAAGGTGAGTGTGCTTTTACTTAAAACATGAATAAGTACTGAGACATTTTATATTATTCCACGCTGCACAGTAAAATGATTGGTAAGTATGTGGAAATTAAATATACTACTTAAGATATAATTTTAAATTGTAATGTGTAATTATAAATTTATTAATAGAATCATGTAAAGCGTCTGAAGGAAGATATACAAAAGAAAGAACATATGATATGTAAAGCAGAGGAAAGAGAAAGAAGACTAAATGTTAAATGTGAGGATGCATCTCGTAATCTGAAGCAGGAAAGAGACGAGGTATGATTTGTTTAAAATAAAACTAATATTGATTCATTTTTATAATTTACAAAAATTAAAATATAATGTCTGATTTACAGATACGAAAACTAAAGAAACAAATTCAGTTTAAAGAAACTCAACATGAGCATGAAATAAGAAGAATCACGCAGAGTAGTCAGAAGCTCCAAGAGCAGTTACAAAAGTCTGCTGGTTAGTTAATATCACGTGTTCAGTTATTAATTTTTTTTTTTTAATGTGTAACTATGTGGTTTTTGTTCTATATTTACATAATATACAATATTATAATATACGGAATCTATCTGAATTTTAATTAGTTAATGAATAGCTTCACTATTCTCAAATAAAATTGTCTTTGCACAACAATGAATGTACCAGTTCAACTTTGTTGCATAGCGAATTGCTTAGTGGCCAGGGATTAGCATTCACTTGTTATATAATTATATAGAAAATACTTTGTATACATGTTGCACAGAACTTGCTTGGTGCTTAATGTATACTATCTTTAATAGTACAATTTATTAACGCAATATTGGTCTAATACATCTTTAATACACACTAATATTTAATGAATATATCGTCAATGAATTGTGCTAGTAGAGCTGAATATGATTATAATCATATCGTATGTAATAAAATTCGAGATAATGAGATGTACAATGATTTTTTGCTAGGTTCTTTTACACCAAAAGATAAACTATTACAAAAAATCCATGAGAAGGAGCTAATTTCATACAAACAAACTATTTGCCGTTTGGAAGAAAACAATAGACATATGTTGGAAGAAATTAATAATCTGAAAGAAGCACTGGAATTACATCAAACTGGAATTGCTTTACATATTGAAGCATCTGGAGCTTGGACTAATGCAGATATTTGAGCATCAGATGTAATTGATATAATTTATTTATAACTTGGACATACATGAAAAAGTGTGTATACTAAGAATTGTGTATATTCCTAATAATACAGTAATACTTTTGTAATAATATTGCTTTTTGTAAAGAGCTTTAAGTATTTTGAATAAGTTTTGTTAATGTTAGTATTTTGAATAAGTTTTGTATGTTAAAAATATTTTGTTTAAAATTTTTGAATGAAATAAAGTGTTTTGTGATTTCCTAACTCATATATACATTTCGTGTTTTAACATAGATCTGTTCTCTTTATCTACTTTTTTCTTCTATACTTACAATTGTAATTAAATGAACAGTACATAATTATATTTTTGAAAGAATAAGAATATACAGGTCAATCAAAAAGAAACTAGACTAGGCAATAAAAATTTGAATATTTACTTAATTAAATTTGGCTTTTTTAAAAATAGGTTCCTTTTACATATATTGTGTAACTAATGTTAAACAAAGAATAAATTGAAGACTAAATGGAATAAGTAGAGGAATATTACCAAAATTTAACAAGAAAATAGCTTAAAAATTTAGCAAATTATATAGTGTTTTCCTCTATAGCTCATGAAAACCGAGTGATTGTAACGTGTCACAACGCAATACTTATTTGATTTTTCGTTCTTCACAGAAAATTATTTATCCAGTGCAAATTATTTATCCAAATTATTTATTATCGGACTTATTTTTGTTTCTCTTTATACTTCTCTACATAAAATTCTTTATCTTATCATATGTGGAATCGCAGAATTCAGAAATGAATCCGAGTGTCTTGCTTAACAAGCAACTGCACTTATCACTAAGTTATCCAGTATCTACAGTATAATCACATGATTCAATGTTTAGAAATATCTAAATGCTGTTTATATTTTTTTAAATTATTTTATATTTTGATCATAATATTGAATCGAGATTGACTTTTCACGAACCGGTTTTATCTAGCCAGACTCAGATCATATGTTAGTATTACAACATAGTAAAAGCATCAAAGATAGCGTATAAATATGAACTCTGTTAACAAGAAAATGTATATTATGTTGACGCGGTTAGAATACGAAGCTTGTCCGCTACTTATTGAACATTTGCAGTTGCCTGCTTTGCAGACCGTATTGTTTCGAATAGTGAGAAATTCCGTGAGAGGTTCTCCACGCTGATCGTTTCCTGGATAAGCTATTTCATTCGGTAGTCTGTTATCTGTGCTATCAATACTCCTCGAACTGAGCCTCAGAGTGCTCTTGCCATCCGCGCAAATGCCGTTTATCACAATGGCAGTCGTGGTGACCAAGTTCATGCTCACGTTCGAGAAAATGTTGTTTTTTACGATGGCGACATCGCCTTGGATAGACATTAGCCCCGGTTTCTGCATTTCGAACTTGGAGCCAATGATCTCGATGTTTAAGAAATTGGCGAAATTCAAGGTTTCCATGACATTATGCAGCTTGCTGTTCACTATGCGCAACTTCGTGCCCTTTTCGGAAACGTTTAGGCAGGATACTCGCTCGATCGTAACGTTCATCATGATGAAGTGCGAGATATTGATATAGGCAAAATCTTCCTCGAGAGTCTCGATAAGCGTATTCTCGATTGCAAGCGTGTCAATAGCTTTCATGTACGTGAACGTGTGACTCGATATCATCGGTATCCGACCAATGTTCGAGAGCTTCAACAGTTTCATATGGCTTGACGAAAAAAAGACGTCAAAACTCAGGCTATCACTGATATTTTGAACTATTACTTCCTCGATATTGCTCGCCTCCGGAAAACTGGAGTAATGAAGATTCGCTGAAACGCATCCTGTGACCGACACGCTGAGAGTGTTCGTATAATCGTATGTTTCTGGTAGAAAAAATTCCTAAAAAATTAAATCTAATTAAGGTACACTCACTACATCCTCAATTATTTCATGTTCGCTTATTTTATATTCTTATGTATTTTACTTTAACATTTTTACGAAGAGATAATTATCACCACGTACACTGTAAACGATAATGTTATTTTAAAGTTAATAAAAAAAGTAGAACAAAAAAAGAAAGTCGCCGTAAAAATATTGAGATGTTGAGATTTTTAGTCCCGATCTCGCAAAATTAATGAGAACGATAAATATCGGTTCAATTTATAAAATAAATCTGTTATTATTGGCAAGTGACTGTCTGTAATTCTTATTAAAAGATAGATATTGATAGATGTTGATAATTATATAGTTATAACATTTTGCATATATAACGTTATCCATCCATGTCTAATCAATTGAATATCAAAATCAACTGAAAATGTTTTTAATGAACAATTTTTGTAGAAAAAGATGATGTTTCTTAAATAAAATTTCTGTAAACGAAAATATCCATCGTATACTTTTATACTTACAATTAATACTATTATTGCTTTTAAAACACAACAATCGTTTTAAAAAATTAATTATATCCATATTAATAAAATACTACAGTTAGTTAAGTTGGGAATACTACAATTTAGTTGAAGTAACTATAAGTTCATTATTTATTAATGAACTGAACTGCACTTTTTATTGTTACCAAATATAAAAAATGTATTTATTTCACTTTAAATACAAAGAGTGTACGTACAGTAAGTCAACTGTAAAAATCGGATATTCTCTTATAGTTTAGAAGTTCTATAAGTATTCGACCAGTTTTGAAGTTATTGAAATTCTCGCCAAGTACGATATATCTTTTTATTTTAAATCTTACAATGTATATTGAAATTCTTCTCTTTTTGTTAAACTTAATTTAAAAAATTAAGTAATGCTAAGAAAAAGTAGTCAAACTTGACTATAATCGGAAGTATAATTTTTTGTAATTTTTCTATCATCGTAAAAATATTTGTAATTCTAAAATTACTACCTGACATTTTCGCAAAAAAAAAAACAATTGACGTTCAATACATTTACTCAAATTGGCGATTTATTTCAAGATAGACCAATACATAAGCATTTGTTGAAACAAAATCAAAATAGTGAAGTGCCAGAGATTATGGCAATATATGAATATGAGATGTTAATCAGTATACCTCGTTTCCGATGCAGCTACACGTAATCCACTTTTCATTATGAACTTGGCATTGTTCATTGATATTATTTGCAGTTGCGAACAATACCATAATGAATATTACAGCGAGTAGGGTCGTTCCCATATTCAACGTACACGTTGTATCTGCACATAAAATCTCACCGTCGATTGTACTCATAAAATTAGAAAGGGAAATGTCTCATATCTGATTAATAAGAGTATATACACAACTGGATTATTCTATGATTAAAAAGGGCTTTTTCTCTTAAATAGAAAATAAATGGTTTTTGATTAAACGTAGATATGCATTACAAATAAATATTAATTGCATGTAAATGTAAATTAAAAGCGAGTATATTAACATGTTGATTGCATCTGAATATGAGTTATCTCGTATTTTCGATGTACAGAGAGAGACAACAATTATGAATTATCATGTAGCTGATATTTATAAGACACAATGTTAAATATGAATGCACTCATAAATGTAATAAATGTGAAAACATAACAAATATAAATAAAAAATATTGTCTAAAGTACGAACGAAAAATTATTCTGGTGTCATAGAACAGAATTTTTATTGATAAAAAGCAAACGTGTAAAAAGCTTCTACAACTATTTTTAGAGATAGTAATAAAATTTTACTATAAGTTTAAAAAAAATAGATATAATAAATAAATTAAAATTAAATATCATATTAAAATATATATATAGTATATTTATATAATTTATATTTTAATACAAGTTATTATAATACAAGTACATTGAGTTTGATAGTAATAAAAGATAACATATTTTTATATATTGTGGACAAAAAATGAAAAAGAAATGCTCTCACCAGAAATGCTCTACTTTTGAATTTGGCAGTTTTCCGTACGGTAAAACTAAACTTTCTAGATTTCCGTTGTCGTCTTTGTGTTTAAAAATCGTTTTATCCGTGCCTTCTGCAATATTCTTTTTTCAAACTACTTTTGAAATTAAATTCAAATTTCTGATATGCTTCGGCGACGCTTCCCGTTGGTGGATCCTCTGTCTTTTCAGGAAGAACTCGCCAGAACAACGAACATTTCCTCGATGTTGAACATATCGTAACGATAGCAGGCAATGACTATTTCGGAGGTCGTTTTGCCGACAGATGAATCCACGGTCGAGTGCGCGATTAAGATAGACAGTTCTTTCGTACCGCTTTTTTATGGAGATTGACATGCATACACTGTTTGGTAAATATATTCCGGTAATTGTGAAGTTCAGCACAGGGTTTGGTGTGTCAATTAGTATATAGTCGGCCTTACAATGCCAGTATGCTTTTGTCGCATGATAAGACCGGAAGAATACAGTCAATTTGATAAAGAATATCTGAAAATTATTGTATTGATAATAAATTGCGATATTATAATTGTTCTAATAATATTATTCTATAAATATCATATATATATTATAATACACACGTAGTGATTAGAAGCTATTTTAGAAGCTATTTTATAATTGTTAGCTTCAATGTTAGTGATTAATGATTATATACTGTAAAAATATTAGAAATTGCCTTTTCTACATTTTTACATATATTATTAATATAAAAATGAAAACACATTATATTTAACAATATTATTTTAAACGTTTGTGTTTTGCAGCTTAAAACATTTATTTGGATGAATATTGTAATATATGCCACGCATAGAAGGAATAATAAATACATCTTCAAATCAAATATTTTACAAAGGTTTATGATTTTTATAGAAAACTATATAATCCCACCCAAACAGAAACAACAAGTCATTATGATAAATGATATCAAAATGACTTCAAAATGATTATTAAAAATTATTTTTTAATCATTTCTGATTCATTCTAATGTCATTTTACCGTGACTTGTTGTTTTTATATAACATATAATATAGTAATATGATTGTTACAAGATAGTAAAAAATTTCTAATTGATATGCTTGTCAGAACTATGATAATGCAACGGCAAATTAAATTACAAATTAGTTAGTTTGTACTAATTTGCAATATCTATGATTTCCTGTAGCGATTATACATGCGTGATGGAAATACAAGGAAAAAAAAATCCATCCATGATGGATCAAGATGAGAAGTTGAGCAACTCTTATATTTATAAATTTAATAATTCATCACTTGAAAATGACGAGAATAATAATTATGTTAATCAATATTAAGCGAATTACTAAACGTTCTAATAAAAATAAAAGATAGAGCATAAATCAAATATAAGGGAGAATGGCACAAACGTAAATGAAACTCCAAGAAAGCTTAAATGATTGGCATAAAAAATAAGTGATTTCTTCTTAAAACGCTTTCTTTTGTATCAATTTTTGTTTCCTGAGAGTTTTGTCTATGCTTCCGTCACTTTTCTTTTATATTTAGTTTACGCTCCGATTTTTATTTTCACCAGGACAGTGATGGATTGACTATTAGGTGAAACAGGCGGTGAAACTATTGGATTAAATTATTATTCTCTTGTAGAATAAAAAAAGTACGATATAATTGGGCGAAAAATTAATATTTCAAAAATGCAATCTTTTTTTAAAAAATAAAACACAGCACATTTTTGATACATTCAATTTTTATAATATACGAAATATTTTTTGCAAGAATAGACAAATATTCTGTTTTCGTTTTATTTTTATATATAGGTCTTTGATTTCTGTCGCTCAGGTCGAAATATTTGAATTGTCACTGCTATAAATCAATGAATAAGGACTTTAATATGCATTAAGATATGTCGCATGAAGCATTCAGATTACAAAGGATTACAACATCGCTCGCGATGCGGGAGAGACGGAAATACCAGACGCCACACACTAGTTGTGTGTATAAAAATATATTTACGATTTACATATATGCTAATGTAGCACACTTTTATCGATGAGTGTTAACACAACAAAATTCGCGTACCCATGCACGCACACATACACACTCCTGCAACACATCGTACTGTTTTACTGATATGGAGTCACCACGCACAACATGATGACTTTTACGGTACCAGCTTTTCGATTCGTGGAAATACACAATCAAGAAGTATACACGTCTATACACGCGGCGGCAAGAAGATTGGCGCCAAGATTAATCTCGTAATAATATTTACGATCGTTCGACGTAACGATTTTGCATCTGGCTGATCTAGCACTTCGCTCTTTCCAGACCACGTTTCCAAATAAAAATGTCAAATAACGTGACACAATAGAGAAAATTTCTCAACGAGAGACTTCTTTCCCGTTGTTGCTGGTGTCACAAACGAATAGCTAGAAAAACTGTGGAAAAACTCGATTCGTGGAACAAATAAGATTTAGTATAAACTTCACACTGTACATAGACGTTTGATGTATTAAAAAAATATGTACATATTTCACGATGTTTGTATTAAAAATTAATATTTAAATGTGTATTAATTTATGTGTATTAAAATAGTATCAATAAATGATATGTATATACATGTTAATCAAAGAAAGACGCTGTAAATATTATAATAGAACAATCCGGTTTGCTAATGCGATTTAATAAAACTTTGAGCAATTGAATTGAGTAACTTTTGTACACTTAAACTGTAAATCATGAGAATGCAAGTAGGTATTATCACATGAGTAAAACAGAAAAAGAGAAGGAAATAAAGTGTTATGAATCAAATAAGCGAAATTCGACATTTATCGTAAGTAATGTCAAGTTCTAGAAAGTATTTGGTCTGAGGTACATTAAAATATTCGCTTCTGTTAGCTATTTAAACATTACTGAGTGCAATAATTACTCAATTATATAATTTAATTGTATTAGTATTTTACTATCTTCACTGTACAAATTTAACTTAAAGACATAGCAATATATGACATAGATATCTTTAAGGCACATTTTCATATTTAACGTAAAATATATCTAATTTTATGTTTAATTTTTTATAGTCTCTTTTTATATTAAAATTATATTATACATATCACTAAATTGCAACTAGAATAGTAAATATCATTCTAAAAGTAAAATAAAAAAATTAAATGAAAAACATTAATTTTAAATATAAATATATATTTAACATATATATATATATATTTCTTATTTCTTCTGTTTAAAGAACATTAATAGTTAGTTTAAAAAAATAGACTATCCATGTTTGACGCTAAATAGACATTATGAATACGAAGATATTCTTCGTAAATTACGTTCTTCTCCTTAGCGACTCGCTCAACTCAGGATTACAACTTCCCTAATAATTTTATGCGATTAATAATATTGTACGTATTGTTGGTACTTCTTGTTGCTGGCTTGAGTCACAGTCTTGAGGGTTTGCTTGTGATGAACGTCGCGAGTCCTATTGCAATCAGTTCAAAAAATAGAGCGGAAACCGTCAAAGAGTGTTTCTAAATACTTCCGCAGAAATCAGTCTTATATAAAGCCCATTATCGGACTTATTTCAATGTCTTTTATCGTTATCACGCTTTTTTGTAAAATATCCTCTTGATGGCTTCTTTCCTTTCTGACAACACGAGTGCCAGCGGCGTTTTTCCTTGCCGGTTCTGTATGTTCGTCTGGCCTCCAGCTTGTATTAAAAGTCGACAGACATCTTTCTGCTTTTCCAAATCTACATTACTCGAAACCGCCGCGGCCATGTGCAACGGTGTGTTATACATGTAGTTGGTCTCGTTCACAACATTCGAAGTAGCCTTGCGCAGCAATACCTGCGAAAACGCGAGAAAAGTTTCAACATTATTTGCGTAAATAATCAACAATGTCGTGCTTAGAATTTAATCTTGAGAGGAAGACTGCATATCAAATAAATTACCAATGTGTTTAATAATTTGCGTTAAGGATTTATCCTAATCTACAATTTATTTTTAAAAACATTATACTTTTTTCTACATATTTGCATCTCTTTTATCTGTTTGTAAATAATTAGCTTGTTTGTTTGTTTGAAATCACTGATTTTTGCGGAACAAGAAACCGAGTGCGACATCTTGTTAGAAAAATTGTGTTTATTGTAAGAGAGAAAGAGATAACTTTTGTATGGAATATTATTACGGTTAAATGCGGATAAAATGAAAAATAACAGTGGATGTTGCGATCTCTCTCAAAAAAGAGACAGTTATCTTATGTGTTATATAATATTTAAATGCGGTTGAGAAAAACGTGACAAAATACAATATTGATTTTATTAACGCCTAATATAACTTGTTTTGTTATTTGTAATCAAATTGATAATACTGTCGACTGCATGTCAAAGATTATCGCGCGGAATTCTGGGTGAATAAGAGTGAATGGATCAATTACTTCTTGCTTCAACTTCTTACTTTCTATAGCCATCTCTGATTGGTGGATCTTTCTACTGATTTTATCCACCAGACATGAAAAAAAGAGATAAGAAATGAGTGAACAGTTTATGTTTAAACACAAACATTCGAGAATTATCATGCAATATGTTTCAGAAGATGCACATTTTTTCTAACTATAAAATCTTTCAAC